ATCAGTACAAGAAGTAACCGACCCATTCACACATCGGCGAGGGTCGTCCACATCCTTCACCCCTCTCTCAGTATGACTACTAACACATGCACTGTTTCGTGGCATATTTCCTAACTCACACGCCTCAAAACTCAACCTCCGATTCTACCCAATCTAAATATAATTGATTATTTATAAAATAGGAATGACCTTAAGTAAGCGGCGACCTCTTTATATTTTCCAGAAAGTAATTTCAGTAATCATGAATTTAATTTTTACTATATTATCATATTTATTATAAAATACAATAATTTGTATTTGACAATTTTTGTAACCATTATTTTTTAATTTATTTGTTGATAATTGAACATTATCCATAAAGGAATTAATATTGTTACAAACCGTCAAATGTAGTTTTAATTTAGAAATAATTCCTTTTAATAATATAAAAGGAACTACATTGTTTGGGGTGGGTAAATCAAGGAAGGGAAAACTAAATTTTTTTGTCAAAAATAATTAACTTTACTCTGCCTTCCGCGAAAACAATATGTATATCTAAATAGTGTAATATGTATATCTAAATATTGTAATATGTATATCTAAATAGTGTGCATGATTTTTACTATTATTACGTCTTTCTGTTGTAAATTCTAACGGACATATTTGATTTGGATTAAAATTTAGATTATTGATAGAGATTTGATCATCAATGTAACGAAAGGTTTAACTGTATAAGTTAGGATTTATTACTTATTTCAAAAATAAAGACTCATTGAAGTACAGATAAAGATTAGCCATGTTTGTGAAGAAAGCAGCTCCCATCGGAATAATTATTAAATGGGTGAAGGTTGGGATTCTTACAAAAGTAGACTTCCCTCACTAAATAGTAATTTTCCAACAAATCTGATACAGAGTATTATACATTCACAACTTTTTAGATATTGTAAAATTTGTAGCAATATAGAATTTTTAATATGTAATATAAATATATGAATACAAAAATTAATTTTCAAATAGCTTTGATGAAAAAACCTTAATCAAGTATTTTAAATTATTTTATAATAAATATAAAAGTAGTTATATAAATTTGTAAATAATGACATAAATGAAATTAAAATATATATACAATAAGAATAATTTCTAAAATTTATTGGTGGGAGGGAAATAATTAGACTTGTTTATTTGGATATTTTTATATCACATATAGGTGGACTAATGTAGTTGTATCACATTCCCTATATAAAACTTGCTACTGTATGGCGTTCTTTAGGACTATCGAAGACGTAGATAGTAGTACAGAAAAGAAAAAAGATAGGAGCTATACTAATAGCAGAAGGTTGGGTTTAGTATAATAGTATCTTAAAATCTTAGTATTTACGTATAAACATCATACTGGGGGCTGGAATGCCAACTTCAAGGACAGTTTTACTGTCTCCCCCATTGGTGTATAGTACTCTTAATTGTTATATTTCTTATATTATTATTGTGAGCAACCATTTACTCAGTCCTGGCTACTTTTTTTTTTAATCATGTGAGGTTGGTGGAAGTGGGTAGACTATGTGCTCTAGTGCAACTTGGTTTTTACTTCAGCCGGCACCTCAATAAACCAGGGCATATTTCATGATAATCCACTTTCTGATTTGAGCCCCAATATTAGATATTTACTTTGTGGCTGCGTATTTATTATTTTCAAGTGTATTTTTTTCCGTCCCTATAAAATTAAATTCTAGTTACATATTGCTTTCCGATCTCCTTAGGACTGTATTTACTTGGACATTTGGAGTATGATACATTTCGACAGATCGTTGAATGGTTCACTGCAGAGAGTGAAACCTTGGCCACCAGATGCAGTTTACAAATGAATCGACACAAATATTGACAAAGCTGGCGAGTTAATGTTTTCCCACCCTTATTTCGTGAACATATAAAAATAGAATGTTTAAAAAGTAGTTAGAAAAATGTTCAATAATCGGAAAATAAAATATAACGTTTAACTAATCTAATAAATCATTCAGTTTCCTCTCATCAATTAGTTTAACGTTTGGTGAAATGTATACAGGAAAGAAACCTTGTTTTCTTAGAGAAATGTGTGTGCAGCACCTAGAATTTTAGGCTTCCCGCTTTTCTTCGAACGTATCCGGCTGCAAACAAAAACTGAATACTTTAAGGGACCAATTTAGTATTATATTGGTATGAACACGCTAAGAAGTAGAAAGGCCGACATAGGCTAAAATTGGGTAATTCTTTATTGCAATTCGTTACCAGGGAAAACTATATCGGTATAAATTTAAATTTAATCCCAATTTAAAAAAAAATCGAGTTTATTTTTGATGTATTATTCTGTCGTCTTAATTACTCTAAAAATATAACTGAAGCGTAGCTGTTCTTTTTCTACCTTACTTAGCTACGATTACATGGTGAGATTACTTTTTATTAAAGATATTTCGTTTCACTTGAAACGTTTCCATGTATTAATCATTTGACTACCAGTTTAGGTACATTACGTAATAATAACTCTCGCACGAGGTTACTCTTTTACTAACGCGGAACTGAGAAATTAATCAAAGCTATTTTTCCCTAACATTCACGATAAAATATATTTTACGGAAAATGTGAGATAAAACTGAATAGTGAACTTGTATTTTATATAAGAATAAGTTCTGATTTATATTTGAGTATTTTGATGGAGAATTTTATGAATATTGGCCTTGTCTGAGAGATAAGAATCCTGTTAGATATAAAGTTGCTCAGAAAATGAAATCGTTTGTTGGTTTCAAATGTGCGTCAATGACAAACAATGACTACTAGGTTTTCCATTTTTAATATTACTAAAGGACTTTTTTATATTTTCATTTTGGTGATAAAAAAAATTGTTCCAACACATGCACACACATCTACATAAATACACATTTTATTGCGAATACTTTTTTTTTTACAGTAAAACTGGACCACATATTTTAATATGTATAAGACACGACAGAAAATAAATAACGTTTCGTTCGCAATATTTTTACAATAATTCTAAAACAACACTATAATAAGAGTTAATGCGTTTCTAGTAATATTGTATACGTTTCAGAAAATCTTAACCTTACTGTGACTAATGTTAATTAAAAAAATCATTGCTTTAAATGTGATTTTCAGAATCTAAAGCAGTTCCTAATTTCTGCCAGATCTCTCTGAACACGAGATCCGCAAATTGTGTTAGAAAACCATAATTCGTAATGCAACGAGACAGCCTTAATTATTGACGTTTCAATAAAATAGTGAACTATACACACTACTCTCCTCCAGCCCAATCGAAATTTATAACTTGCATAACATTTGAATTGTTATCTTCCAAAACTTCATATTCATTTATGATGAAACTGACTTGGAAAACAAAGCTATCCACGTTTTGAATTTTCCTGATTGAATTGTTTATCAAAACTGTCCAAGATTTAATCACAATCTTTAACTTGGAAGTTTATTAAGAAACCAATAACATAAAATAGATAACAGGAGGTTTAATCTACGTTGCAAAGACCAAAAAGTTTTGTCTCTAGGTTCTGTACACAATTTATTCACTTACTAGCTCAGTATATTTGCTTATGCATGTTACTGTTCGATCTTCCCTTTCCTTTGCAACCGTGTTGTGACATGTAGCGTTTTGTTGTTTTTTGTGAGGATTCTTACTACCTGTACGCTCTGACTACTGATGCATAACAGATTGCTTTCTCGCTTAGAAATATTAATTCTAAACAGTTCTTGGTAGAACTGGTAGTATTATCTTGTCTAATTTCAACGACCCCTTTTCTAAGAACTTCGATTTGATAAAACCTGCTAGAAAACAAGCGAAGTTAGACAAGTAAATGTCAACGGTCAAGTATGGAAATCAAACGTTGTATTGATAATAATAATAATAAATAATACAATAGAAGATTTTATAACGAAGTGTATTTCACTGAAATAAGCAGAGGATCAGGAAGAAACGTATCGCTTATTTATTATAAAATTTTGTAAACACTGCAAAAAATCGAAACAGATTTGGAGCATAGTGACACAACTTCACTATAAGCCACCAAATAACTTCAATTATTGAAATTAGCCAACATAAATTTCTATTCTACACTTTATTAATCGGGATAATACTAAACTTAAGTTTTGCATTACCATTTTTACTCGATCCGAACAAAATTAGTTTATATTTTATGCATATTAAAGCATAATAGTTTTAGTTCACAAAAAGCACGCAGGTAGTTTAAGGTTACCATAAAACTCGTTAGATACAGTAGGCTATATTCACAAAGTTCTCACTAACTGGTAGTGATTTTTTTTTTAAGTAAAAAGTTGGTTTATCTTTGTAATAGTCCCGAACTTTTGTATTTTAACTTTGTGAAACATACAGCTCTTTTTGTAAAATGGAAGTCAACGATGGAAGAATGTATCGAAAATGTTATTTCTGGAAGTATTTTGTGAACAAACAAAGCAAATACTGATGTTTTAGCATTACAAAAATGCAGTAACATACGCGATGAAGCAGATTAAAAGTCATGATTCTGACCTGAAATTTATACTAATGACTGTGAAGAAAGGCGTTCCCATCATGTGCAAGTGATTAATCTTTTGTTTCGGCAAGAATTATTCGTTTCGAGGCACGAAAAGGCAAACTACTGCAGGATATTCGCTGCAGCTTGCTACACAGTAATTTGTTTTAACTTAACTGTTACCTTTAATCCCACGAACACAGTGCCCTGTGATCGGTTTATCCGAGTTTGGCAGAGTGCAACTCAAGTTAAAGAGCAGATTACGTGTTTCATATATATTACGCTAATTAAAAACAACAACAAACCTGTAAATATCTTCTACATTACCATGACCACAACTCTCGGGCCTATCAGGCACTAGTATAATTTAAGTATATAATTCTTTAGAAGGTTAAGTTAAAATTAAGGCGTCAATTATCGACAGTTATTGTATTCTAAACTTTTGGTAGATGACTGAAATGTCGTGGAAATAGGTTGGTTTATAAAAGTTATTTTTTATGTATATTTCTTGCTAATATACTGTCAAGAAACGTTATTATTGGTCCCATCAATAAGGTAAGCTTCTCAAACAATACTATAATAATTTCGGTAAAATCAAGTATATACAGTTACATTTGGTTATAACACACACAACACAAAGTACTACGGGCAAGTAAAATCTACAAAGACAACGAAGTTAATGTGGATAGGGATAATCCCTGAGATAAGCTTTCACTGGTTTTGGAATTTCTAAAGTGTCAATACTGTCATCAGCGAGCCAAGAGCCGAGGGCAGGATCGGCACGAGCCTGCAACTGTTTGTTGGCGGTCAGACGGCACAGATGCTGGAGTGACAAAACATGTTTATAAAGCGGCTTATATAGCCGAACTCTGATATCCCTTCGTCCCGAGTCGTCTAGCCAAACACAAAAAGACGCCTTGACAGACTGGCTCAATCGAACAAAATATTCTACGAGCTGTAAAACACATTCAAATAACGGCATACGAACCACAAGCGAGTCTGGGCAGTCTAATCGAAACTGCCCGCGGGAATAATGTATTCTTATACTTGTAGGGCCCCTTTCCGTCTGTACGCTGACGGAAAATAGAAAGCGTGGATTCGCACTGTCCCGAACTAAAAATGTCCCTACTTCCTTATTCTGAAGTAGATTGGATGCCTGTTGCCACGACAACCCTTCGTAATAATAACCACACATTTTCAATTTCTGAATTGTTCTGTTAATACGTTGGAAATCGTCATTACATCCTTTGTTCATATAACCTATAGGGCTTGTAGGGTGAGACAATACCGGTGAAACTCCTGCCGGAACAGGCGAGGGTGGTGTAGGCGATGACTTCAGAGAAGCGTCTCCTGACTGGTGATTGTTTCCGGAAATTATGACAGTTTCTTCGACTGAAGGTAATTTCAGGGTAAGCTCTAAGCCAGGGCAGGCGCTGATGAATACCACAGGAAGTTGAATGCGAGTCGGGGCTACGATGTCTATACTTTTCGTTATCATATCGGCAATGTTAAATTTTAGGCTTAGTTTGCTTGGTCTGACTAGCGAAGATTGCGATTCTGAGAAGTATTCAAACTTCGACTGTACGCTGGACTAATTCTGAGAAGTATTCAAACTTCGACTGTACGCTGGTTTATTCCCGAGATAAAGATGCAACAAAGTTGGCACATTAGATTCAAACTCTTTCCATAGCAGGAAAAACAGTCAAGGCACCGAGAGAGAATTCTTGGGCTGTTCCTTAGCCATGTGTTGAAAATTGAAAGAAACTTCACTGTTAACTTGTTTCCACTTTGAAAAATTCTTGTTCCCATAAACCATCACCAAACACGGTGAGTCTCTTTCGTTTATATTATCTGAAAAGAACATGAATATGTAAATACAAATTAACTTGCATTTGCATAAAACTGACTAGAAAATTCTCAATGCTATACACAAGGAAAACATGCCTGAAAGTGTACGAAATTACCCAGCGATCATATTTTTATTTGTAAAAAATGAACTTTGACACTACTAATTAATATAGTAACTCTATTTCAAAGGTTCTGTTTTAATTAAAGGATTTTTCTCGATACATTTACTTACTGTGAATGCAACGCAAGATATAAAAATTCTTATTTTCACTTTACTTGGTTATTTAAACATTGTTATTGAATTGATATCAGACACACAATTATCTAAAAGTATATTTCATTCATTTCTGAAAATGTACGATAAAAAATAAATTGTGAAAAAAATCAAACATTTTTAAACGCATTTCATATCTTAAATGTTCATTAAAACCTTAAACACGGATAAAAAAAAATCCTCTCGAACGAGAAACGTTTCGCGCAAGAATTGACATTATTTGACAATGAAACGGTCAGTAAACCCAAATAACTAAATATACATTTTTCTTTTGAAAACTGAATGGCTAACTAATATAACCTTTTAATTACTGTACTTCTGAAATTGGATACACTCTAATAGAACTTAAGCCAAGCTAAATTATTGGACGTAAATTCATTAATGTAACCAAAATGTAGCTACTATTTCACTAGACAGGTTATTATTAATCGGTTCCAAATGTATCTAAATCGCCACGAAAATGTTCTTACCCATTCAGTGCTATAAATATCGAAATCCTTATTTACACTCCTTGTTTCTTTCACGTTTGTTCAAAGTACTATAAACTTAATATATTATTTAACATTCCCTGTACAACAGAGGAGACGGCAACGAACACAAACAGCTTCGAAAGCTCACAAGCTAGCACTGAGAAACGTCGGACTCAATTCAACACTTATCTATTTTCTAGAAGGCTTTCCTGATATCTGGAGATGTTTTACCCAGAACTTGACTACGTGTACGTAAATAAAAGTTTCTGGGAATGCTTCCCGAAGCACGTGGGTTTCACTTGAACAAACAGTCATGCTTGGCGCGTGCGCAACTAAGTCTCCGCTTGCTTGTTTATGATTGGCAATGGAGCATTCATTCAGAAATGCTTATTGTTGGGAGTGTTGTATTATCAAGCGGTACTTCCAACTCAACCTTGTCCCAGTAGAACGCACCAGCCGCCAATGACCTCAATGGTGTGGTGTAAAAACCCGTCTGAAAAACGTGATGTTGCCGTGGTCTGCAACATCTGAATAACTAAAATTTGTATATATATAACCACAAATTTATAATATAGCTACATAGTCTATTTCAAATCAAGTCACCTGGAAAATTAGATGGTCAGTGACACGTTGAGGCTGAACTTAAAAGTATTGTACCTTTCAAAACATGTTGAAATGTAGGTGTTTGAATACTTCCTAATAAACTGTACACGTATCCGATCATGCATGAAAAAATAACATTTAATACTTGTATTAGTAACACAAAGCTATGAAAACAACTGAAACTTTATAATCTCTGCTGCTGGGCGACATTTCAAGTGTCCGTTTATTGGAATTCATGATGTAATTCTCAATAAGGCTGACATGATGTACGCAACAAAACACAAGGAACTCGAGCAAAAAATCAGCATTTAGTAGAAATACTTGAGAACCTATTAATCACATATGATAAGATATTTCTGAAATTGTCTTTTGTTTCCTTATCTAATTATATAAGAGTAAGTTTATCTCTACCTCTTTGTCTGGTTTGTTTTCTACCGAGTAAAGCCATCGTTCTCTGTGCATGTTTATCACCTTCACGCTAGACTGATGGTACTCCCTTCTAATTTGTTTCGTTATTTAGATACAGAAGCAGATGAACAAATGATATAATTGTTTAGGTGCACGGGCCAGAAAACTACATAGTATTACAATTAGAACCCGAGCATGAAATATCCCATAATGAAAAAACAAAACAAAAGAAAATCCAGATTCAAGGTCTTTGGCATTCTTTAAAAACGCGTTTTTCTTGTGCGCAGAGTAATTAACTTAATAAAAGACTGAAAGAAAGAGGGCGATAAAGACATATATCTGACATCCATCTGAGTTCACAAAGTTCATGTGCAGTGGAGTAGGAAGCGGGGAGAGGGTGGGTCCTTGGGTCCTCCCCCCCCCAACTTTTCAATCTACCATAGTAAAAACGCATCAAAAATTAGGAAATTTACTCCCAGTAAAAGCATGATAATGCATAGAATTTAAGCCAGAACCCAAGAGCTTCCAGGGCCCTAAGGCAAGCCCTGGACTTTGGCCGTAATGGGTACGCCTGTGGCGCACGTTCCCTCGCTTCGTTCAGTCAAATAAACCTTGCCCCTCCCCCTCAGTTTTAATTTGCCTCCAACATCTCTGATGTGTATATCTTTTATAAAACACAACGATAGGGTTAACATCTCTTATGAATCACATTTTCAGACTTGAAATGCATGAAAAACTCATACAAGCATTATGTCAAAACTATTCTGGGTTTTAGGAAGTTCGAATAACACACAATGACAATTTGTGTAAAAGTGCGAACACTGCAAATACCGAAGATAAAAAGATAATTTATAATGACAGACGAACAACAAATAGATGGGCATAAACAAACAAGTTCTGATGTTTTTGTTTTAAATACTTATTGCTGACTTGAGTATACTACACATAACAATAAATAAATAAAACGACCGTGAACCCCAGTTATTTTTTTTTGCTAAACATTTCGGCTTCGCGTCTTCATATGATATAACATAAATTTTATTGTGATATTATAAAGAATATTTTCCATACTAAACGACAGTCTAAACGGGAAATTTAAATAAAACAAAAAATTATTATTTTTTACTTTGTTTAATGCAAACAGAAGTTTATTGCAGAACCTATCAATTAATATTCTGTGTATCTTGTATAGTTGTACCATAATTATCCCTTTTCATACCGAAGGGAGAAAGTGACTCAAGGTGTAGAATTATCGAGTTCTTATTATTTTTTTCTCATCTGGAGATACGAGTAATTTCCATTTTTTAAATTACGCACGTACACGGGGGAGGATCGAGGGGGTTCTTTCGAGCCTCCTATTTTTGGAATGTAAAAAATTATATTTGTATAGTTATAGCGCAGCTGTTTATGGTATTTAAGACTTTCTACATAGTCTACATTCTTCTGATGAAGCATTAGCATTTTGTAGCTTGAAATAGTCGCATGCAATGGCGACACTCTGTAAGGGGAAGCCGAAGCCGTATTGCTACTGTTTAGATTAATAACATAATTTAACAATTAATAAATACTCTGCACGTAGATAATACAGTACTTTACTATAATAAAACATACATATTTATGTTAATTTAAGTCTAGCTTCCCATGCAGTGTTACAACAGAATGATGATTTGTTGACTTTTCATTGGATGTTTGTAGATTTTATGTAAACAGCCATGCAACTGTTTAAACTATATTTTATGCGAAACTGCTTTCATATTTATCTCGTAGCACTTATTTTTTACACATTTTCAGTGGAGCATGTCTTCAGACCTCGTAGCATTAACTTGTTTTGTAAGCTGATTGTGCTTCGTACAATGTGTGTTGGCTTTTTATCTCATAAATTAGAACCCATCTTTTAAACATTCTGCGTATGGGCCTGTAAGTATTAACAGAATGTTTAGGAAACC